TCAGCCCTTCCGCACCAGGTCGTGCACCTGCGCCGCGGTGGCGAAGGCCACCCCAGGGCACTCCTTCAGGCGGCCAAACATCTCCTGCGGAGCAACGATAAGAGGGACCGGCATAGGGGGTGATGCATAGATCGGCGACAGGCCCCCGATAATGAATTCGCACCTTCCTGTGCAAGTTGGGGCTATCGGGCCTCGGCGATCAGTGGGCGATTGGGGGTCGATGCATCCCCCCGGAGGAGGAGGAGGAGGAGGAGGAGGAGGAGGAGAAGGAGAAGGAGGAGAAGGAGAAAGAGGAGGAGGAGGAGGAGGAGGAGAAGGAGGAGGGGGAGGAGGAGGAGGAGGAGGAGGAGGAGGAGGAGGAGGAGGAAGAGGAGCCCTATCCCCCCTATCGTTGCCCCCGATCTCCGAGAGCGCCAACGTGCGCGCGGGCGTGCCGGCAACGAAGGTGTGCATGCCGAGGCACACGACCTTCGCGTCGCCCGGCTCCGTCGCCAGCTGCCGCACGTGGTCCTCGATGGCCTGTGAAGAGGCCCAGGGATACACACATAAATACACACGAACCCCCAGATTTCCCATGTGTGTCCATATGTGTGGGGTTTTCGTTTCCTCCCTCCACACTTCCCATATTTTGTTTCATATTTTCCTGGGGATCGACGATTGAAGGTGTCTGTGTGTGTTTTCCCCTCCTGAGCCTGGGCGTACTGCCTGGGGTCGAGGTTCTTGGTAAGGACCAGGGAGAAGTCGTTCGTCTCCATGCAGTAGGGCACGCACAACATGCGCCTGCCGGTGGGCCTGTTAGGTGACGACATCCAATCCGACCGATCCGTTGAAGGTGGGTGCAGGGTTCGGGTTTCTCCACGTGTGTGACGAACTTCGAACCTAACCCCCACCGCCGATCGAGTTGCCTGAAGCGTTGATCGGCGAGGGCAGGATTCGGATTCCGCCGCCGACCTGTGGACGAGGTCGTACGGCACGTCGTCGTCCACGAAGTCCAGGAGGACGTGCACGCCCGACGCCGCTGCAATCTCGGGGGTGCGCTCCGTGACCGAGAACTGCGGAGTGAGCCACGTGCGCGGCCGGCTGCCGAGGGATGCCTCCAGGTCGCTCAGGCACTTGCCAAAGGCGGCCTCCTCGCCCCTGCTGGAGGAGCAAACATCGGCATTAAGCATACACTCCCGGATGTCCGCGCGGATTTCCAGGATCGGCGTTGGCCCCCCTCCCTGGCGCCGCCCCCAGCGTGCTCCGTGCGCCAGGGAGGAGGGCTGGGCGCCGATCCACAAAAAACCGCGAGGCCCTGCGAAAATTGACGTTTATGCCGTTCTTCGTATCATTTTCCTTCTTCTTCGGCCTGCGGTCCATCCCCGCGTTCCCAGAGGAGTTGTTGATGCCGTGAGCGCCGAGGTCCCAGCCGGATTCCTTGAGGGCGGCGGACACCGCGTCTAGCTGAACGGCCTCGCTGTTGATGACCGCCGTGGCGGGAACGCCGAGGGCCTTGAAGGTCCGGACCAGGCGCTGCAGTCCCCTACGGTTGCCGTAGTCCCTCCAGCCCTTGTTGGCGATCTCGGGCGTCGACTGCAGGTGTGGCTGGATACCGGGCCCCCCGGAGCCAGGCACGAAGACCTCGACGTTCACCACAGGCACCACGAAGACCTTCGTGGAGCCGCCCCAGCCAGCACGGACCTCCTGGCGCTCCATGTCGACACCGTACCCCTGCGTGCCCATCCTCGGCTGCGCGATGGGGGCCGACACGAGGCCCATCTCTCGCACAAAGGGGCGCGGGTCGCGGAACTTCCACTTGAAGTCGAAGTGTTCTGCCAGCCGGAGCTTGTAGCAGTCGCCGTGGTCCATGGGCGCCGGGGCGGCCATCGAGGCCAATGCGGCCACCACCTCCTCAGTGTTGATGATGAAGGCAGATACGGGAGGCCCGCAGGACACAGGGAAATCGTGCCAAGTGCCCTTCTTGATGATGATGCCGTGGCCGGGCGGCACTATCACGGCCTCTATGCGCTGCGGGTCTGGCAAGGCCCGGTGCTTCTCGTCAAGGTCCTGGGGGGGACACGAAATTTGTTGTGTTGAGGGAGAGGAGCGGTGAACAACCGCGAATCTCTTCTTGTGCTGCCACGAACCTCTTGCTGTACTTGCTGCTTGCTGTAAGCGCCGGCATTAGCGGGCAAATCCTGCCCCACTAAACAGACCCTGGGGGTGACACAAAGACCCCCGGACCTCTCCTGGGGTGAGTTCTGACCAAAATTTCGAGGCAAGCCCAGCCTTGGCGAAGAGGGACGCGCAACAGTCCTCTCTGTCGTGCGTCGGCTCGCCGAGCACGAACAGGCCAGGGTTGCTGCCGAGCACGAGGAAGCCCTGCGTCATCTCCATGTGCCGCTCCAGCCACGTGACGGTATGGTCCTCGCGCCAGTGGATCTGCGAGGTGCGCACACAGCACTGGTCCTTCCAGGTGGCCTCCTTGTAGTTTGCGCCCTCGAGGACCGTCTTGTAGAAAGGAATCCCCAGGCCAGGGTTTACGACCGTGTCGTCGATGAAGAAGCCGTACTTTGCCGTGTTCTCCCGCGTTGCCAGCTTGAGGTCCAGCCACCTGGTCGGCAACTCCGCGTCGCCATGGGCACCCCCAGGCGTCGCCAGCTTGAGCTCCCCCTCGCGCGAGCGCTTCAAGGATCCCATTGCCTTGGCTATGCGGTGGGTGAAGTTCTTGGCGGACAGGATGCCTGCAAACCAGGTAAGGGACCAGAGCCAAAACGGCTACGAAGGCAACAAGGTCCACAATAGAATCGGTAAGCCAAATCGAAATCTTTGGACGCCCGAAATGGGTACGGACAAAAATGGGTACAATGCCCAACAACAAATGTTGTGCCAAACCAACAGCGGCCGCTTTTGGGCAGGCGGCCTTCTGTCTCGAATTGATACAGACCGCGGCGGCGTGGACAGCGAGTCCGGTTCAGAATGAACAAGAAATGCTGTTGGGCTTGTTCTTTCCGTACCAATACCGTTCGTGCCGAAGATCGGAAGCCCGTCGAACATTTTGAGATCGGGGTCAAGACGGCAACCTCATCATCAGATCGGATATCGGAATTCGGATCGGAATCCTCGGTATGCGTTGCCGCCTGCCGCCTCTCCTTCAAGGAGGGGCAGGAACGAGGATCGAATGGGAGCTGAGACGGGCTTCGAGGAACATCGAAACTGGCAGCCCCTGACTTGGAAAGTACACTATTCGAACTAGAGTCGCTTCCTAACCGCACCTTGGGGTGCAGAACGCCTCCCTCCCTCTCCGACCCGCAGATACTCGACACGTGTGCGGTGCAGATACTTAGCGCTCGGAGATTCGGCGCCGCAAGTAACAACAGTTTAACTGTCTGTGGGAAGAGGCCAGTCATACGTGGCACAGAACGCAGGATTGCGACTGCACGAGTGATCACAGGGAGGGCGTTGCGACCACAGCAAAAAAAGCAAAGGCCTCGGATGGAATCACCTGGGGAGGCAAGATTTGGCTGTCTCTGCTTGCTGGGAAGATCGGAGAAGACGGAGGCGGAGAGACGAAGACAGAACATGAAGGTCTTTGTCAGATGTGGGGCAACCGCCATGGATATACCATCTGAGCAGCACGGTAACAGCAGTGCGGACTGTTTGCGCGGAGGTCAAAGCACACTTGGAAACATAGTGACAAGGCCTGCATCACAATCCAGCGGGAATCGGGCTGTGAGCTCTCGTGCCAAAAATGTTTGACCACGACGGGCACCACCGCCTCCGAGAGTTCAAAGAGAAGATCAAGGACGGGCGAAACTCCATATCTACGGGGCAGCGGCTCGCACACATCTGCGCGCGCCCGGTCGTTCGAAGTGTATAGCAAACGCCCAGATATCAGACAAAGTTGCTTGTGGGACCTGTGGAACTTGCGGGACCCGCGGGGCTTGCGGGACCTCTGGGACCTGCGGGACCTGCGAGACCCATGAGCTGTCCAATCCGTTGCCCCGGAGGCCCCGACCCATGCCCCGAGGCAACGTTGGCCTTGCATCCGTTTCTCTCGGACGCTCGGAATGGGGACAGAAAACATGGGCACGATGCCCTACAACAAATTTTGTCCCAAACTGACAGCGCCCGCTGTTGGACAGGCGGGTGTCTGCCTTCGATGATCAACTTCCGCGGCGGCGCGGACAGCGAGTCTTGTTCAAATGGACAGGAACTGCTGTTGCGCATCGTGCCCACTTTTTCCGTACCCCTTTCGATCGAACCCAGAGACCGAAGTCGAGGAGGAACACTTGGATTGAAAGGTCAGACCGTCGGACATGTCTTCTCTGTAAGCACAATGTTTTGAAGGCAGCTCTGCTGTAAAAAACACTATTTCAGAATCGGCCATGTTTTGAATGCAGATCTGCCTTGAAAAAACCGTTCTTACAGAGTCGACTCTAGTTTCGAAGGCAGATCTGCCTTGCAAGTAACAGTTGCTTATACAGGGAACATACTAGGCCAATACCACTTGGGGCTCGGGCCACGCCGCATCGCGACCGATGCCTCCGCGGTCGCCTATTCGGGAAGCCTCGGCCTGCCCTGGCGCGGAGCTGCCCCGGCCTCGGCCCAGACCCTGCAGGCTTCGGAGGGGAGGAGTCGCAGGGGAGGAGCGGGAGAGGGAGAGGGGGGGAGGGGGAGGGGGGGGGGGAGGAGGAGGGAGGGGAGGGGGAGGGGGAGGAGGAGGAGGAGGAGGAGGAGGAGGAGGAGGAGGAGGAGGAGGAGTGAGGGGGAGGAGGAGGAGGACGAGGAGGAGGAAGAGCTAAACCTCTGTTGTCTCTTGTTCCTGCTTTTCCTGTTTTGTTCGGGCCCCGTGTTCTCCGTTAGTTTCCCCTGTCGTTGTTTGGATCAAACTTGCACCCACTAGACCGCCACCTCTGTTTTTTTGACAGGCGCTTCCCCCCTCCCCCCTCCCCCCATGTGTTTCTGCTGCTCCTCTCTAGGCTACAGTTTCCTCTGTGTGTCACATGTTCCCGAATGACCCCCCCCAACCTCCACCTCGGGCCCTCAGCCGAGGTGGAGGGGCAGGACAGGTGGCCGCACGTGCACTACGAATCACAGCCATTAGCACAGCACAGGAGGAGGAGGAGGAGGAGGAGGAGGAGGAGGAGGGGGAGGAGGAGGAGGAGGAGGAGGAGGAGGAGGAGGAGGAGGAGGAGGAGGAGGAGGAGGAGGACCCCCCCCCCCTGGGCTTAGGACGAGGGCAGGGCCTTCGACCTCCACCTTCCGAGCCCTCCGCGCAGCTCGTGCCGACGCCGCGGGGCCGCGGCAACCGCCAAGACTGCCGTTTCGGCCTCGACGGCTGCCGCCGCTGCGCCCGGCTGGCGGCGGCCGCTGCGCGGCGTCCGCGGTCTGACTGGGAGGTGCGGAAAGTGGCGGTCGAAGGGATGAATTGGATTACAATGTGGGACCTGCTGTAGGACAGGGGCGTACCGTGAACGGGTCTACCTTTTCTCCGACCTCCTACTGCGCGGAAATGCGCAGGACATGTGTCTATACGAAACCACGCCCAATGTGTCTATGGACGCTTGTGGCCCAAACGTGAACACGGTATCTGGCATACACCCCAGAGATCGGTCTTCTCTAAGCAAGTGGATTTTACCCTCCAGGGTTAAGGAAGTGCCAAGAGGGCATTGGGGATCGGGCAAGATGATCTCCCAAATTCATCCAGATATTGGTTGTCTTTGTTGCTGGCGTACAACATGTGAAATATGCCTTTGTCTTGTGCTTCCCGTCGTCCGGGACTCGGTTCCTCTCGCACGCCGTCCCGCTTGCAAATTAAACTCGAACAACAAACGTGCTCGAGTGAAGGAGGGGGAGGAGGAGAAGAAGAGGAGGAGGATAAGAGGAAGAGGAGGATGGTGATGGTGATGGTGATGGTGATGGTGATGGTGATGATGATGATGACGACGACGACGACGAGGAGGAGGAGGAGGAGGAGGAGGAGGAGGAGGAGGAGACCTCCGCCTGCCGGCACGCATATGCCACGCCACCACCTCCAAGTAGGGGCGCCAGCTGCCACCCACCAGGGCGCCGCCCGGACGACGACGACGACGACGACGGCGGACGCGGCGACGAAATCGACGACGACAACGACAGCGGCGACGACGACGACGCGACAGCGCGACCCGGGCGCCTCCTTCGCCCCCGCGGCGGCCCCGTGCTCCGTCTGCGCCCGCGGCTGTGCCAGCGGCCTCGCAGGCGGCTCTGCGTAGCCGTCGGGCACGTCGCTGCCGCTTCGCTCCTGGCCGGGTGGCATCCCGACGCGGAAGCGGAAGCGGAACGACGGAGTCGTGCGCGTTCCGATGGGGAGCCCGCCAGTGCCCATGTGGGCATGGCGTAGAGGCCGTAGCCTCGAATACGACCAGCCTCGTTCGATCATGGCTTGCTTGTGGATTTAGCCTCAGAGTTCGTTCATGGTGCTATCGCTCAAGTTTATGCCGCCCAGAGGTTCGTACTTCGACGACCTTTCAATACGTCAATAGACTGAAGACCTGGTCACTTCGACAGGGACCAACAGAAAGATCTGGAGACTTCGATCTCGTAAGATAGAGCTTCGGAAAACAGATCCGCCACCGTGCCGCTGGCCACGGAATGGGCGTGTCATCAGGTCCTGGGCCCAACCCTCTAATCGGGAGCGGCAAAGAGGGGGGCGTCCAAGAGGGGGGGGTGCAAATCATGACCGGCGGCACGTGCGCGGCCCAGCGGGGGGACCAGGGACGTAATGAAATAAGAAGAGGCGCCATGAAATCTGAGGAAATATCATGGCCCCCGCCATGATATCCACCCCCCCTAGTCATCACCCCCCTCTTTTCCGCCCCCGATCTAAGCCTCAATGTTCACTCCTGGAGAGTTTTCAAAGTGGGCCGGAACCGAAGCGCCGAAACCTCCTGGGACTTCCCGCGTGCCCCCTGGGCTTTGGGAGATGGCGGCGCGTGAATTCTTCGGGCCCAAAGGGGGGCCCTAAGATGGGCCAAGATGGTTTCAAGATGGGCCAAGAGGGTCCCAAGAAGCCCCCAGACGGTCCAACAGGGTCCCGAGTCGCCGAAGGATCGCTCCAATACGCTCACGGTGGCCCCCAGGCGGCCCAAAAGGCCTCCACGACGCCCCAAGAGGCTTACAAGAGGCCCCCCGCTAGGGCCTCAAGAGGTCCGAATCGCTGATTGACCGTATGTTTTGAAGTTTTGGGCTTTCTCTCCTTTTCGGCTTCCCGACGCTCCCTGGCAGCCCTAGAAGCCCCCAAGATCACCCCAAGACGGCCCCAGAGGCCTCCACGAGGGCCCCAAGACGGCCTAAGAGGGTCCCAGGACGGCCCAAGAGGGACGCCATAGAGGCCCCAAAGATGGCTCCAAGAGCGGGCCTAGATGGGGGACCCGAACGGACACTTCGAGCCCTCGGCACCGAGGAGCCCCGGGAGGCCCGAAAAGGCCCCCGAGAGGCTCCCAAGAGGCTCCAAGAGGCTCCCAAGATGCCCAGAGAGGCCCCCGAAAGGCTCCCAAGAGACCCCCAAGCTGCTCCCGAGAGGTCCCTGGGAACGCCCCGAAGAGACACGAAGAAACATCCGTGCTAACTCTGACTCGCAACCGAGGCGGGAACACGACCGATAGCAACCACTTCGGCCCGAAAAACAGACTGTAAGGACAAACAGTTGCGATCCGTCA